TTTATATTTTTTTAATTTGTTGAGTCATGTTTTGTGGCCTAAGATATGATCAATCTTGGATAATGTTCTGTGTGCTGATGAGAATAATGCATATTCAGTAGTTGTTGTGTTAAAGTTCTGTAAACATCTGTTAGGCCAATTTGTTCTAGAGTCCCATTCAAATCCAGTGTTTCCTTATTTATTTTCTGCTTGGATGATCTGCCCAGTTCTGTTGGTGGGGTGTTGAGGGCACCAGCAATTATGATGCTGCTGTTTATCTCTTTGCTTAGATCTAGTAGGGTTTGCTTTATGAATCTGGGCACTCCTGTATTCGATGCATAAATATTTATGATTATTATGTCTATGGGTTAGATGTGTTTCCAAGGGACAGCAGATACTTGAGTTTTATTTTTTAATCCATTCAGCCAGCCTATGACTTGAGTGGGGCATTCATACCATTCACATTGATTGATAGAATTGATATGTGGGATGCTGTTCTGTTCATCCTGTTAGGTAGCACCTTTTTGCTTTCTTTTAACTCTTGTACTATTTTTTATATGAGCTTTGAGCTTTAGCTTTGGAGTGGTTTTATCCTGGTGGGTGTCTATTGTGCTGATCCATGTATAATGTGTTTCTTTGTATTTCCTGCATGACAGGCCTGGTCTTGACAAATTCCCTCAGTGTATTTCTTTTTGTTTTGTTTTTTGTTTTGTTTTGTTGTCTGGAAAAGTCTTTATTTTTCCTTCACATACGAAACTTAGTTTTGTAGGATACAACATTCTAGGCTGACAGTTGTTCAGTTTAAGAAGATTGAAGATGGAGCCCCAATCCCTTCTGGCTTGTAAGATCTCAGTTAAGAAGTCTGCTGTTAGCCTCATGGGTTTTCTTTTGTAAGCTGCCTGAGGTTTTGGCCTTATAGCTTGCAGGGGTTCCTCTTTGTATTGATTTTGACCAGTCTGATAACTATGTGTCCTGGTGGTTGCCTCTTTGCAATGACATTTCCCAGGTGTTCATTGAGTTTGTACCTGCATATCTAAATCTCTAGCAAGACCAGGGAAGTTTTCCTCAATTATTCCCTCAAAGGTTTTCCAGCTGTTGTTAATTTTCTTCTTCACCCTATAGATGCCTATGATTCTTATATTTGGCCATTTTACGTAATCTCATATTTCTTGTAGGCTTTGTTCCTTCCTCTCAATTCTCTGTTCTTTATTTTTGTCTGACTAATGTGAGACAGTTGTCATCAAGCTCCGATATTCTTTCTTCTGTCTAGTCTAGTGTATTCTCAAAACTTTACACACTGTGTTTTGTATTTTCTTAAATGAGTTTTTCATTTATAAAAGCTCTATTTTTAATATGTCTATCTCTTTAGTAAATTTTTCATTCATTTCTTGAGTTGTTTTCCTGCTTTCTTTCAGTTGGTTTTCCATTTTCTCTTGGGTTTCATTGAGCTTCCTTACAATCCATATTTGGAATTCTTTATCTATTATTATAATATTTTCATTTTCATTGGTATTCATTGCTACAGAGCTGATATTTCCTTTTGGGCGTGTCCTTTTGCTCTGATTTTTCATACTTCTGGAGTTTCTTCATTGATTCCTTCTCATTTGAGGTAGCTGTCCCTTCTTATTTTTGGATTTTCTTTTGTTTAGATTGGGGCTTTTGTTTTCTTCCCTCCTTACTCATAAGGGAGTGTCTGTAGCATATGTTGGGTAAGAACCTATGGCTTTGCTTGTGGGTGCTTTTGGGGGTCCAGGTTTTGGATGGATGCCTTGGTTATAAATATCCTTAGTGGTATTCTCAGTTGTTAGTTGTTTGTAGGCTACAGCAGTGGTGAGCTATGTATGGTGGAAGATTCCCTGTCTATCTTTTTTGTTGTTGTTGTTTCTTGCCTCTCTTTGATTAGGGATGATGGGGGTCTTTTCTCCTACACCAGCCCTGTGGTCACCTAAAAATTAATACTAGTTACAGAACAACATTTTTGCTAAAAAATAAAAAATAAAAACAATTACGGAGAGAAAAAATTTTCTTTAAAATAAAGTATAATAGAGGTCATTATTGAAAGCCTTTTTTGTCTTCATGTCCCCCATGAAATTTGGAATACACCTGTACTCTGTCAGATTTTGAGGCCTAGATGCACCATGCTCCCATTTCTTTCAGAACAATGAACAGTTAAGATGCAGTTATATATTGTAAGCATGTGGGTATGGCACTGATATCATCAGATCAGTAAGTGTTCTGTGTAAAGAATTTCATCTTGATAGCTACAGTATTTTTTTAACATTATGGAATGAAGCTCATGCATACATACACACACACACACACACACACACACACACACACACCCCAAGATGACAATTTAAGAGTTCTATATAATATGCAGCAAAAATAGCAGATACAAATGAGAGATCAAGATAATAACATTTGACAAGGGTTTGAAGGCTTAACTGCAAATCAGTCTAATGTTATGTGCAAAATTGTAAATCAGTATTCAGAAAAAAATCGAGCATCTGTCCAAGTGCCCATCAATACATGAGTGGATTGAAAAATGTGGTATATGCATACCATGGAGTACTATTCAGCTATAAGAGACAATGATGATATAGCACCTCTTGTATTTTCCTGGATAGAGCTGGAACCCATTCTACTAAGTGAAGTATCACAAGAATGGAAAACCAAGCACCACATGTACTCACCAGAAAATTGGTATTAACGGATCAACACCTAAGTGGACATATAGGAATAACATTTATCAGGTGTCAGGCAGATGAGAGGGGATAGGAGGGGATGGGTTTATGTATACATAATAAGTGTGATGTGCACCATCTTGGGGATGGTCACGCTTGAAGCTCTGACTTGAGAGGGGAGGGTGGCAAGGGCAATACACATAACCTTAGCATTTGTACTCCCATAATATGCTGAAATAAAAAAGGGCAAACATTAACACAAATTCATTAGTTAGAGGCATATTCATTTAAAAATCTATTTGAATTTGGTTTTCACAGCAGTTTTTTTTCCTCAATAAATAAGAAGTTAGTACTGTATACAATTACATTTCTCAGGAAAGGGGTCTAGAGCTAAAGAGAGATTGACTTCTAATTAATGAATTTATAAATATCCCTTTTCCTCTTTTGATATTAACTGAAGTTGGATATTTAGCTAAAAACAGGTTTATGTTTATTTCAATACCACCTGTGGTGGTGGTATTGCTAGGAATGTTCTGGTATTTATATATCTTCTAGTACTTTATATCTTCTTTGAAAGTATTCCTTCTAAGGAAGATAATTTGGTTTAGTGTTCCAAAGGTAGGCATAAAGATTTGATATAGTCAGAGTCCTCAATGTGTCAGACAGTATGATAACCTAAATAACCAATGTGAATTCCATATATACTGTATTTTCTGTTAGATTTTCTCCCCATGTAGTAGTAGAATGCATAGCTACTGTAGATTCTTCTGGAAAGAGTAGAAACATTATCTGTTTGGTTCCTTACAAAGCTGAGTATCCTGACAAATAAAACATACAAAAGAACATTAATGAGTAATTTATGAAGGCAGATGTAGGTTATGTCTAGCTGAATAATATTTTCTTGTATTTTCTCTCATCCTTTATTTTTTGTCTTGACTTCTAAAATAATGAAAACTAGTGACAGAGCAAGATTGAACAGCCATTTTGATGATTTGAAAGTAAGAGTCAAAGAAGTTCTTTACACTATTTTGATCAATGTTTAGAAGCAAATGAAAGTTATTTGTTATCTACCTCTGCTAGAATATGAAAATTTCAATATATCTCATGTTTATTTTCCATATAAATCAATATTATCTTTCTCTTTATTATCTGTTAATCATTTATATTTTATAATTCTTTAACAGTTTTCAAAATGAGTGTTTACTTCTAAATATTATCTCATGTGAGCCTCACAGTTATCTGCTGAGGTAGGAGATTCAGAGCTTTTTATTGCAATCAGTTCTAATGTATGTTAAAAGTCATAGAGTTTTTTTCCTTATATTGTACTTAAATGACACACTGTAGAATAAGTCTATTATTTCTTGCTCAGGTTTCATTGAAGATGGAAGAAATCTCTTCATATAAATAAAATTAATTGTAGTCATTCTTCAACTTTCTCTTCTCCTGTGCTTGGATTCATCCTTGTGTCTAAAGGGAACATTTGTTATGTATGTTCCACTTTGAAGTTAACAGTTAACAATAAAATATTGACAGTAATTCTGCTTTCTTATGAAGATCATTTTGATTGAAAGGAACAGAACCCCATTCATACTTATTCAGGCAAAAAATGAGAAGATGGTGGGAACTTATTTCAGGGATTTGTGATTACCTTAGAGAACTCAAAGGCAGAAAATAGAGTTAATACTTACGAGAGGCTGGAAACATGAATGTGAAAGACATCAGGAGCCCAGGTAGAAAATGTTTCTCTAGAGGCATATGATCTCTTGTTTCTACTTGCTATATATGTGGCTGTTTTTCCTCAAACTCTACACATTGATTTTTTTTTTCTTCTTCTTCTTCTCTGGGTATATGGCAGAAAAGGCATCTCCATAGTGCCTGAGATTGCCTGTCCTTATTTCAAACAATGAGCACAAAAAAAAAAAAGAAAAGAAAAAGAAAAAAAACAACTTTTCTGAATTCTAACTCTAAATATCCAAGGAAAAAAATTGATTGCCCCCATTTGTATTGAATGCCAATTTCCTACAACTAATGGAATGTGTAACAGCATCAATGTGGCATTTGGGAGTGGTCATTCGTTTATAGAGAAGGAGTGGTCATTCGTTTATAGAGAAGTATAGGCTGGGAAGACACCACGCAATGTGTCTACCATAACTGATCTTATATTTAAATATTAATTATGAAGTTTTACTTTGGGAAAGATTTTCACTATAACATTCTATTAACACAGGTGCAACAAATAAATTGACACCCTATCCTCAGTCTAATGGCCACATGTGCTGTGTTTAATGTCAAATGCAACTGAGAAATTGCAACTTCATGGTTTATTTTGTTTTGCAGACAATAACTACAACTAGTTCATCAAATGAACCTATATTTCCCCTACAAGCTGTGTCTCTTCCAAATGAAAGAGTTCCTGACAGATTTGAATATTCTTATCCAGAAAGGCTCAACACGCCAAGGTAAGCCTCACTGATAATTGAGTCTACATAAAGATAATCTTAATTTGGAGTAAAATATAGAAGTAGTTTACTTTTATTTTACACTACATTTTAACATGATATTTAATCCCCAATATAAATTATATATTGATTGTATATGGACAAGAAAATGGTATATTTCAAGGAAGTAGCCTAGCCAGTCAATTACTTTCAGGTGTGTTAGAAAATGGTTAATGTAAGGGAGGATGCAAGAGAATATAAAATCTGCCTACACCAGTATTCTTCTATTTGCTTGCAAGAAGCTTAGTGTTCTCTCTTGCTTTCAACAGCCAAACAAATAAAAATACGTACTCTGTAATATTTTCCTCAATGGGGGTTTTCAACAGGGAAATAACTGGTTTTCTAACATTTTATAAATATTTAAATGAGTATCCATGTTTGTCTTTAAGTAATGAAGGAGCAGTTATGATGCGACATGATGAAGGAAACAAATCTGAAACAGAAGTTTCTGATAAAAAAGTTTCAGAAACTGTAGCTGGTTATTTCAACTATAAAAGTCTCCAATTCCTAAGAATAATTGAAAATGACAGCCCCCTTATGGACTCTGGCTCTGAAAGATGTATGATTGATTCTGACTCTGATAGAGGCATTGGTTTGGACTCTGACTTAGAAGAACGCTCAAAAGACTCTGACTCAGTAATATGGGGAATGAATTCAGACTCAGAAAAATGTCCCAGGGACTCAGACTCTACAAAACACCTGCTAGAAGCAGAAAACTACCAGATGGCTACAGGCTCTGTGGAAGATCTGATGGTAGTCGAACGTTGCCAGGTTGACTCTGATTCTCTGAAATATTGGATGGACTCAGGTTCAGAAAAATGCTTGGTAGATTCTGACTCTGAAAAATGTCTGATGGACTCTGATAATGAAAGACTGGAGATAGACTCAGATTCAGAAAGGTGTCCCATGGTCTCTGCATCCATGAAATACTTGCTGAAAGCAGAAAAATACCAAATGGCCTCAGAGTCTGTAAAACGCCTGATGGAATCTGAAAAAAGTTTTATGGAGACCGAAAAACTCTGGATGGTCTCTGCTACTGAGAGGTACATAATGGACTCAGACGCAGAAAGGGGTGTAATGGACTCAGCTTCTGCATCTGGGGCACATCTGATGGTGGGAGAAAAACACCAAGAGAAGATTAAATCTGAAAGATATATGATCGACTCTGACTCTGAACCATGTGGGATGGACTCAGACTCTGAAAGATGTGGACTAACCTCAACAGCTGTAAAATGTCTCATGGATGGTAAAACATTCCAGTTGAGCACTGACACTGAAGGGCTCTGGATTGATTCTTGGTCTGAAAGACGTAAAGTGGACTTAGACTCTGATTCTGTGAAACACATGATGAAGGCTGAGTATTGCCAAAAGACCTCTGACTTGCAGAAATTCTGGACAGGCCTCAGATCTGAATCTGAAAGATCCTGGGTAGTCTCTGAAAGAGAACAGTTGGACTTTGACCATAATAGATGCTGGGATAGTTCTCAAAAATATCAGCATAGGTCTGCAAGACTTCAGAATAGGTCTGGAAAATATCAGGATGACCTTCAAAAACATTGGGATAACTTTGAAAGACATCAAGTGGACACTAATTCTAAAAAACATCAAACAAATTCTGGAAATGAAAGACATCAAAATGAGTTTGAAAGTGAAAGACACCTGATGAGGACAGAGAGGGGACAGTGTCTGATACAACTTGAAAATGAGAGACTTCAGAAGGATGAAGGGAAGAAAAGACATCTCATGGAGTCTGACGTTGAAAAAGAGCACAGGATTGCATTTGACAGTGAAAGACATAACCTTGACTCAGAAAATGAAGCACTACGGCTTGGTGCTCGCAGAAAGGATAATCGTCCTCAAGGTAAGCTTAAATGTGTGTGGCCTTTGAAAGCAGATTGTTTTACAAATTTAATTAATAACATAATGATACTTCCAAAATAGTAGTAGCTTTGACAGATTTGGGCCCAAGGTCCCCTTATCAGAAATTCAGAAAATAAGCATCTTAATCCCAAATTTCCAATTCACTTTTAAAAATTAGATATCATCTTGCTTTAGGTAACTTTTATCTCCTTATCTTAAAAGGAATAAAATTAAAGCATTCTTAGAAAAAATGATTATTCTGCACTAAGAAGCACCATGTTGAATTTAGCTCCCACCATTCTGGAATGGGTAAATAGCCTTTCTTATTATTAGTTACTATGGAAAGAGGTAAATATCCAAGTCTAATGATATAAAGATTCCAATTATCTTGCTTCTCTCAAAAAGTTACTATCCAAGCTCCATAATTTTCAATAAATAGCTGGCATTTACCTTGTTGCTCATGTTTATTTTATCACACTCAATCATTATAATTCTCCAATTCCTAAGGCATTTTATTTAGGAATGCTTATTATCATAAAACAATTATTATGATAAAGCAATTATTATAATCTCATAGATAGTATTTTTCTTTATATTAGTCATCTTTTAATTTTTTTTTATTTCAGCATATTAGAGGGGTACAAATGTTTAGGTTATATATATTGCCTGTTCCCCACCCAAGTCAGAGCTTCAAGCATGTCCATCCCCTAGACGGTGTGCACCGCACCCATTAGGTATGAATATACCCATCCCCTCCCCCATCCCACCTGCCCGACACCTTATGAATATTACTACTATACATGCACTTAAGTTTTGGTCAGGTAAGTCAGTTAATACCAATTTGATGGTGAGTACATATGGTGCTTCTTTTTCAGTTTTTGTGATACTTACTTAGTAGAATGGATTCCAGCTCTATCCAGGATAATACAGAGGTGCTAGATCACTATTGTTTTTTGTCACTGAGTAGAACTCCATGGTACACATATGCCACATTTTATTAATCCACTAATGTATCAATGGACACTGGAGTTGTTTCCACATCTTTGCAATTGTGAATTGTGCTGCTATAAACATTCCAGTGTAGATGACTTTTTTATAGAATGTCTTTTGTTCCTTGGGGAGATGCCCAGTAATGGGCATTTTTCCCTTAGACATTCCTAAGAAATTATAACAATAAATTCTATGCCTCAGTAAACTCCCATAAGTCCTTAAAAAATAGAGTAATTAAAATAATACATAAGGATCCATGTTCCCTATTTTAATATGCTATTTCCACATAATTATCATTGAAATTTTTTCTAAATAATACTGACTTATCCATGAAGCCATATATCTTAAGTATGGTGGACTATTGAAGCCAATACAAAGTATAGTATATATTTAGGGACATTTACTGATACAAAGTGTTATCCAGAGGTTGCACTGGTTCTCATAGTGATACATTTCTTCTTAAGCTATTAATTCATCTGGAATAACTTTGAGATATTTTACTTGAACAGTCAACGGAAAATAATGATCCTATTTTGTATATTACCTGAGAAAAACTCTCTAACCTCTAGTTAGAAACTCTATTCTATTGGGAAGGATTAAGCAATGTGAGAATTAAGTTTCTAAGCTCCTCTCATGAAGTACTTTCATGGTGGTATAGTGATATAGTTTCATTACCTTTATAAGGGGAAGGAAAAGAATCTTAAAACAATGTTTTTATTGGATTTTAATTTAGTAACACTACATTAATTCTTCCTTAATCGAATATCATTCTGTTCTAACTAGGTAATATTAGCAATCCCTTAAGAGTTGCACTAATCAACCAAGAGGATATTATCATTTAAATTTTTCATCCAGCTTCAATTTTTTCTTTTTTTTTATTTCAGCATATTATGGGGGTACAGATTTTAAGGTTTGAATAAATGCCCATTTCACCCCTCCCCCCAAAAGTCTGAGTCTCCATCATGACCATCCCCCAGATGGTGCACATCTCACTCATTAAGTATGTATATACCCGTCCCCCTCCCGCCTCCCACCTGCCCAATACCCTATTACTGTAGTACCTATGTGTCCACTTAGGTGCTACTCAGTTAATACCAGTTTGCTGGAGAATATATCTGGTGCTTGTTTTTCCATTCTTGGGATACTTCACTCAGTAGTATGGGTTCCAGCTCTAACCAGGAAAATATAAGATGTGCTATATCACCGTTGTTTCTTAGAGCTGAATAGTACTCCATGGTATACATATACCACATTTTATTAATCCATTCTTGGATTGATGGGCACTTGGGCTGTTTCCACAGCCTTGCAAATATGAATTGTGCTGCTATAAACATTCAGAGTGCAGGTGTTTTTTTTGTAGAATGTCATTGAATCTTTTGGGTAGATGCCCAGTAATGGGATTGTTGGATCAAAGAGTAGATTCACTTGTATCGCTTTAAGGTATCTCCAAATTTCTTTCCACAGAGGTTGAACTAGTTTGCAGTCCCACCAGCAGTGTAGGAGTGTTCCTCTCTCTCTGTATCCACGCCAGTATTTGTTGTTCGGGGTCTTTTTGGTAAAGGCCATTCTCACTGGAGTTAAGTGATATCTCATTGTAGTTTTGATTTGCATTTCTCTGATGATTAGAGATGTTGACCATTTTTTCATATGTTTGTTGGCCATTCTTCTGTCTTTTAGAAAAATTTCTGTTCAAGTCCTTTGCCCATTTTTAATAGGGTTATTTGATTTTTTCTTCCTGATTTTTGTGAGTTCTAAGTATATTCTAGTTATCAACCCTTATCGGATGCATAGGATGCAAAAATTTTATCCCACTCTGTATGTTGTCTGTTTACTCTCATGACTGTTTCTTTGGCTGTGCAGAGACTTTTTAGTTTGATCATGTCCCATTTATTTATTCTTGTTGCTGCTGTGATTGCCTTTTGGGACTTCTTCATAAACTCTTTGCCTAGGCCGATGTCTAGGAGAGTGTTTCCAACATTTTCCTCTAGAATTCTAATAGTTTCGTACCTTAGGTTTAAGTCTGTTATCCAGCGTGAGTATGCTGATGGGATTTTAATAGGTATTGCATTGAATCTGTAGATCAGTTTGGGTAGTATAGACATTTTGATGATATTGAGTCTGCCGATCCAAGAGCATGGTATGGATTTCCATCTGTTTACATCCTCTGCTATTTCCTTCCTCAGTGTTTCATAGTTCTCCCTTTTTTTCTTTTATTTCAGGATATTATGAGGTTACAAATATTTTGGTTACATTTTATGTCTTTGCTTCACCCAAGCAAGGATTAGAGGTTGCCCTTCCTGTCTACAATGCTCACCATGTCCATTAGTTGTGAGTTTACCCCCCAACCCCCTAATCCCTGGAGAATACTACTACCATGTGAGCATAATAGTGTTGATCAGTCAGTGCTAATTTGGTGGCGAGTACATGTGGAGCCAATTCTTCCGATCTTGTGATACTTCATTTTGAATAATGGGCTCAAGCTCTATCCAGGAAAATATAAGAGGTGCTAGTTCACTGTCATTTCTTATAATTGAGTAGTATTCCATTGTATACATATACCAAATTTTAATAATCCATTCATGAATTGATGGGCACTTGGGTTGCTTCCACATCCTTGCAATAGTGAATTATGCTGCCATAAACATCGGGTGAAGATGCCTTTATTATAGAATGTCTTTTGCTCTTTGGGGTAGATGCCCAATAGTGCTATGGCTGGATCAAATGGGTATCCAGCTTCAGTTTTTAATATTTTCAAACACCATCTGATAAATATTCAGTGAGATGGAATAACTAATGCTTAAAGCTAGAAAAACTCATGGGACCCAACAGAATTGTTATTTATATTCTGTGTAAAATTTTGTCATTTGAATGCCTACTATGTGCTCAGTGTATATAATAATACATACATAAATGTATAATACCTTAAATGTTATAGCACCTTTCAAAATAAAATATATAAAAATAACAATAACAGCTGATATTGATTTTTTATACTGTGTTAAGCACTATGCTTCAAAAATCAAATGTGTTATTACATCTAATTTGTTATTCCCCTTTTACAGATAATAGCTAAGCTTTATATGTCACTTCCAGGAACCATTGCAACCATTTTACTTATACTAATTCATTAGTACTAATTGATAAGTATTAGATTACTAATACCAATTCACTAGTTTTAAACGTACAAATACATTAAAACCTCACAGCCCCTCTATAACCATTTTTATTTTACCAATGAAGAAATTGAGGCCCGAAGAAGTTATGTAATTAACAAGGTAACACAATAAATTATAGATTAAGGATGTGACTTCATGCTCTAAAGTCTGTGCTGAATACCATGAAGATGTACTATCTTTTAACTGTAAGAGATATATACTCTGCCTATTTTACCATGAGGACAATGGGGCTAAAAAAGTTCAAATGACTTGTCCTATACTTTGTACTTAGGTTTATCTGATTCCAGAGCCTGACTTCTTAATCAAGAATAGTTATGAGTTATGTATAATTCAACATTTCTTAACTTCATCATCTTCTAAATTAGAAAGATCAATGATACTATAGTATTAATGTGCCTGCTTCAAATATGAGGAAACTGAGGCTCAAGCAAACACTTCACTCAATGTCACATAGGTAATTAGTGACCAAGCTAGATCATAGATACTCCTAGTCTCAGTGTTATTTCAACTACATATGTGATTTCATGAAGTTTATAGTCTAATTGAGAAAATAATATTATGTCACATGAAACTAGTCAATTAACTATACTTTCTCTGAATCTACTTATATTTTAATTACTTACAATTGGATTGGAATTATATAATTTGTGTATTATTATTAATAGAAAGCATGCATTAGTATATGATCAATCCACAGGTGGGAGCACTTCCAAACATAGAACCAAAATTTTGCTAGATGCCCTCACTCATCTTTAGCTGTTGTATATTTAAAATATAAACCAATAGGCTAAATATGATTTTTAAAATCTTAGAATTAAAATTAAAGGTTGTGGGTGTAAGAAAAGTGCTTTTTGTTTACCACCTATGTCTCTTCTTTGACAAAATGAACATTAATCTTTTTATATATCTCACTGATATTTTCCTTTTCATTAATACATAAAAAACATATGTGTAACAAAGACAAAAAAGTGCTCTTTGTATTACTCACTTCATGTTCACTTCCAAATAAGCAATACATGCTTCTTAAAGTCACCTTGAATCATGTCTGTCCCTTCTCTATGCTGTCTAACAGTAAAGAGATGTGAGGAAAACAACCTTGATGCATCTTGAAGACCCATAATTAAGACTTTTTGCTCCTATGACTATGGACCCTTAATGATAATAGTTTATTTTTATTTAATAAATGAACAGTTGGTTTCAAAACACCTTAATTTTGATTTTATCATTTTTACAAAATACCTTTCCTGAGAATAATCCAGAGCTTATTGATAATATTAAATCATTCTTCTATATGTTCTATATCATATCATTCTCTAAATGTTCAACTTCTATACTCATACTTATCCATCATAATGATGTTTAAAATTTACATTGCACCTTAACATTTTACACCAAGTATTATCATTTTGAGATCTTTGAATTGCAGTCTCCATTCTGACAACATATATCCAAAACCCCTTATTTCTGCACTACACCATAGCCTGTTGTTAGCCAATTTTTTAAATTTTGGTAAAATATATACACATAAAATATGACATCTTAACCACTTTTAAGTATACAGTTCAATAGTGTTAAGTACATTCACATTGTTGTGCAATCATCCTCCAGAACTCTTTTCATCTTGAAAAACCAAAACTTTATGCCCATTAAACAATTCTTCATCCCCCCTCCTTCAAGCCCATGACAACCATCATTATGTTTCCTGTGTCTATAAATGCAACTATTCTAGGTACTTCATGTAAGTAGAATCACATAATATTTGTCTATTTGTAACTGGCTTGATTTATTTCACTTAGCATAACATCCTTGAAGTTTATTTATGTTGTAGCATGTGTCAGAATTTTCTTCCTTTGTGGGGCTGAATAATATTATTAATACATTGTAAGTATATATCACATTTTGTTTATCCATTCATCCATTGATGGACACTTGGTTTGCTTCCGCCTTTGGCTATTGTAAATAATGATGTAATGACAATGGATGTACAAATATCTCTTAGAGACCCTGCTTTCAATTTTTTTGAGTATATACCCAGAAGTAGAATTGCTAGATCATATGGTAATTCTAGTTTTAATTTTTTGAGGAACCTCTATACTTTTTTCTATAGTAGCTGTACCATTTTACATTCCCACTAATAGCCCATGAGGGTTTCAATTTCTCCAGGTCCTTGCTAATACTTGTTATTAATATTTTTTTGTTTTATTGATAGTAGCCATCATATTGCGTACTTGTTAGCCAATTTTATACCCTAATATCTTATTTATTAGAGCAATAACCTGCTAAAATATATTTTAGAAATTAACTGAGCATCTGCTTAATTTTTGTATGGGACAAATACATTAACAATATATGGTAGAATACTTTAAACTTAGTTTTCGACATTGATTTCATAAATTTCATGAAAATTGGGAACAGGATCACCATTATTAGTAAATATATTAGAAAAATGATATAATAAATATTTTTGCTGCAGAATCATATAATTAAATATTCATTTCTACAATCTTATTTTATTAGGAGTTGGAAAATAATTTAGTCTATTCGATATGTTTCTAGGTTTTTGGAGGCCTGTTTTTCTGCCCCTTCCACTTGCCCAAGAAAAGAAAACTAAAGAACAACACTCTGTGCAACAAATAGAAAATAAAGGTAAGTATAGAAATTGCTTAAGAATTTTATCATATTCTATGTCAATATTTGGAAAAATCTAATCTGAACCTGTTGTGTCAGAGGTCCCTAAGACAATATCTAGGTACAGAAGAACTTACTAGACTCAGCATACAGTAGCACTCCAGAATATTATTTACTACAAAGTAAAATCAACAAAGGGAAAAGGCACATGGAGTGAAGTCTAATAGAAACTAAGTACAATGTTCCAAGAGTACCATCTTAGTGTAATCACACAGATTTTCTTAATTCATCCAACAGTGACTTGTGACAGCATATAGAGATTATTGTTTGCCAGGGAAGGTCATTAGATTCTCAGTGCCCAGGATGTTTTTTTCAAACAGCTTTATTGAGTTGTAATTCACCCAGTAAAGTATACAATTCAATGGTTTTAAGTATATCCAGAGATATGTGCAACCATCACCACAATCAATTTTAGAATATCTTTATCACTATGAAAAGTCACCTTTGTGACCACATTCATTCAGTTAGCATAATGTTTTCAAGGATAATCCATATTATAGCATTTAATCAGTACTTCATTCTTTTAATGACCAAATAATATTCCATTGTGTGGTTGTATCACATTATATTTATATATCAGTCAATTGATGGACATTTGAGCTGATTCTACCTTTTGGCTATTAATAATGTTGCTATAAACATTTACATACAAGCTTTTGTGTGGACACATGTTTTCTTATTCTTTTTCACTTTGATTTTATTCTATTTTATTTTACTTTATGTGTTTTAATTTCAGCATATTATGGGGGTACAAAGATTTAGGTTACATATATTGCCTTTGCCCTGCTTGAGTCAGATCTTCAAGCCTGTCGATTCCCCAGACAGTACACACAACACCCATTAGGTGTGAATAAACCCATACCCTCCTCCCCTCTCCCACATGCCCTATACACAATGAATGTTATTACCATATGTGCATATAAGTGTTGATTAATTAATACCAATGTGATGGTGAGTACATGTGGTGCTTGTTTTTCCATTCTTGTGATACTTCATGTAGTATAAAGGACTCCAGCTCCATCCAGGATAATAACAAGAGGTGCTAGATCACCATTGTTTTTTTTGTGGCTGAGTAATACTCCATGGTATACATATACCACATTTTATTAACCCACTCATGTATTGATGGGCACTTCACTTGTTTCCACATCTTTACAATCGTTAACTGTTCTGCTATAAACATTGTAGTGCAGATGTCTTTTTTAGAGAAAAAAATAAGATGCTGCATTATCATGATGAACATGGCACTTGAAGCACTGTCAAAATATTATAGGGTCACTATAATTTGTAGTACCCTAAGCAGCAGTGCAAACAATGAGAGTGCTACATACTATCTCTGTCACAGCTTCTCAACTCTGTGATTCAGTGTGAAGAGAAAGCAGCCATTAACAATACCTAAAGGACACATGTTTTCATCTCATTTGGGTATATACCCCAGGAGTGCAATTGTTGGGTTGTATGATAACTCCACATTTAATTGCTTAAATAACTGCTAGAGTGTTTTCCAAAGTGACTGCAGAATTTAATATTCACATTAGCAGTATATGATGATTCCTATTTTTCATATCCACTCTAGTACTTGTTTTTATCTGATATTTTTAATTTTAGCAACCTTAGTGAGTATGAAATGTTATTTCATTATGGCTTTTTAATTTTTTTTTCTTTTTAATTCTTATGGGTACATAATAGTCATATATATTTATAGGGAATATGCAATGTTTTGACAGGCATGCAATGCATAATAATCAAATCAGGGTAATTGAGGTATCTGTCACCTCAAGCATTTATCACTTCCTTATGTTAGGAACATTCCAATTCCACCATTTTAGTTGTTTTAAAGTATACCCTAACATGTTGTTGACTATAGTCACCTTGTCGTGCTATCAAATACTGTTCATTCTATCTAACTATCTAACTATATTTTTGTACCCATTAACCATCTCAAATTTATCCCCATCTGCACTACCCTTTCCAGCCTCTGGTAACTGTCATTCTACTCTCTGTCTCCATTAGATAGATCAATTGTTTTTTTTTTTTTTTTTTTGAGTCTCACTTTGTTGCCTAGGCTAGAGTGAGTGCCGTGGCGTCAGCCTAGCTCACAGCAACCTCAATCTCCTGGGCTCAAGCAATCCTGCTGCCTCAGCCTCCCAAGTAGCTGGGACTACAGGCATGTGCCATCATGCCCGGCTAATTTTTTCTATATATATTAGTTGGCCAATTAGTTTCTTTCTATTTATAGTAGAGACGGGGTCTCGCTCTTGCTCAGGTTGGTTTTTTGAACTCCCGACCTCGAGCAATCCGCCCACCTCGGCCTCCCAGAGAGCTAGGATTACAGGCGTGAGCCACCGCGCCCGGCCTAGATCAATTGTTTTTAATATTTAGTGCTCACATGTGAGTGAGAAATTTGTCTTTCTGTGCCTGGCTTATTTCACTTAACATAATGATCCCAGTTCCATCCATATTGTTGCAAATTGCAAGATTTAATTCTTATATATGGTTGAATATTATTACATTGTGTATATGTACCAAGCTTTCTTTATTCATTCATCTGTTGATAGACACTTAGGTTGATTCCAAATGTTGGCTATTGTGAATAGTACTAAAGTCAACATGGTAGTATACATCTTTTTGATATAGTGATTTCTTTTCTTTTGAATACATACTTAGTAGTGGGATTGCTGGGTGATGTGGTAGTTTATTTTAAGTTTTTTGAAGAACCTCTATACTGTTCTTCATAGTGGTTGCACTAATATACATTCTCAACTACAGTGTATGAGGGTTCTCCTTTCTCCACGTCCTCACCAGCATTCCTTACTGCCAGTATTTTTTTTTAATTTTTTTAATTATAGTATTTTTGATGAAAGGCATTTGAACTGGGGCGAGATGATATTTCATTGTACTTTTGTTTTATATTTCTCAGATAACTAATGATATTGACCATTTTTTCATACAATTATTGGCCACTTGTATCTCTTATTTTGAGAAATGTCTATTCAGATGATTTGCCCATATTTAATCAAATTATTTAGGTTTTTATTTAGTTATTGGAGTTCCTTATATATCCTAGTCATTATTCCCTTGTCAGATGGATGGATTGCAAATATTTTCTCCCATTCAGTGGTTATCTTTTCTTTATTTTTTATTTTTTTTAATTTTAATTTTTTGATTTTTTAATTTTTTTTGCTTTTATTATTTTTATTTCAGCATATGAAGGGGAAACAGATTTTAAGGTTTCAATAAATGCCCCTTCCCCCCTCCCCTGACAAATCTGAGTCTCCAGCATGACCATTACCCAGACGGTGCACATCTCACTCATTATGTATGTATATACCCACCCCCCGACCCCTGCCCAATACCCTATTACTGTAGTACCTATGTGTCCACTTAGGTGCTGCTCATTTAATACCAGTTTGCTGGTGAGTATATGTGGTTCTTGTTTTTCCATTCTTGGGATACTTCACTCAGTAGTATGGGTTCCAGCTCTAACCAGGAAAATATAAGATGTACTATATCACCATTGTTTCTTAGAGATGAAAAGTACTCCATAGTATACATATACCACATTTTATTAATCCATTCTTGGATTGATGGGCACTTGGGCTGTTTCCACAGCCTTGCAAATATGAATTGTGCTGCTATAAACATTCAGAGTGCAGGTGTTTTTTTTGTAGAATGTCATTGAATCTTTTGGGTAGATGCCCAGTAATGGGATTGTTGGATCAAAGAGTAGATTCACTTGTATCGCTTTAAGGTATCTCCAAATTTCTTTCCACAGAGGTTGAACTAGTTTGCAGTCCCACCAGCAGTGTAGGAGTGTTCCTCTCTCTCTGTATCCACGCCAGTATTTGTTGTTCGGGGTCTTTTTGGTAAAGGCCATTCTCACTGGAGTTAAGTGATATCTCATTGTAGTTTTGATTTGCATTTCTCTGATGATTAGAGATGTTGACCATTTTTTCATATGTTTGTTGGCCATTCTTCTGTCTTTTAGAAAAATTTCTGTTCAAGTCCTTTGCCCATTTTTAATAGGGTTATTTGATTTTTTCTTCCTGATTTTTGTGAGTTCTAAGTATATTCTAGTTATCAACCCTTATCGGATGCATAGGATGCAAAAATTTTATCCCACTCTGTATGTTGTCTGTTTACTCTCATGACTGTTTCTTTGGCTGTGCAGAGACTTTTTAGTTTGATCATGTCCCATTTATTTATTTTTGTTGCTGCTGTGATTGCCTTTTGGGACTTCTTCATAAACTCTTTGCCTAGGCCGATGTCTAGGAGAGTGTTTCCAACATTTTCCTCTAGAATTCTAATAGTTTCGTACCTTAGGTTTAAGTCTGTTATCCAGCGTGAGTTGATTTTTGTGACAGGTGAAAGGTGTGGGTCCTGCTTTAGCCTTCTACAAGTGGCTATCCAGTTTTCCCAGCACCATTTATTGAAAAGGAATTCTTTTCCCCAGAATATGTTTTTGTCTGCTTTGTCAAAGATTAGATGGCTATATGACGATGGTTTTATATCAGGATTCTCACATCTGTTCCACTGGTCAATATTCCTATTTTTGTGCCAATACCAGATTGTTTTAATTACTGCAGCTTTGTAGTATAGTTTGATATCTGACATATTAATGCCTCCCATGTTGTTTTTGTTGCCTAGAATTGCTTTTGATATTCAGGGTCTTCTTTGGTTACATACGAAGCATAAAATTATTTTTTCTATATCTGTGAAGAATGCTGATGGGATTTTAATAGGTATTGCATTGAATTTCTAGATCAGTTTGGATAGTATAGACATTTTAATGATGTTGAGTCTGCAGATCCACCAGCATGAAATGGATTTCCATCTGTTTACATCCTCTGCTATTTCCGTCCTTAGTGTTTCATAGTTCTCCCTGTAGAGGTCTTTTACCTCTTTGGTTAAATATATTCCTAGGTACTTTAATTTCTTTGTTGCTATTGTGAAGGGAA